CATCAATGGTGAGGTGTTAAGCAACTCAATGAGACCCTGTCTCTAAATAAAATACAAAATAGGGCTGGGGATGTGGCTCAGTGGTCGAGTGTCCCTGAGTTCAATCCCCAGTACCAAAAAAAAAAAAAAAAAATCTCCAACCAAGCATCGCACAGGCCCTGTGGAGGAATTCTGAAGGTTTGCTCCAGTGCCCTCCCACTCAGGGCAGGGCAGAGTCTGAGGTCTGGGGAGGAGGAGCGAATCTTCTAAAATGAGGTCTGACTCTAAGAGAACAAACGTTGGCTGCTTGAGGTCCCGACCCACGTCCTCTTCTGGCAGAGCCATTTCAGGCATTATCAATCCTGCTGGGCTTGTCCTAACAGGTGGCAGCTACTGTTTATTTTGTGGATGGCCAAGTGAGGCTAGAAGTCCTTTCCAATGTTTTAACCTCTGGTCCAGTACCCCACAGACAGGGCTGGAGGGGCTGTGCAGGGGCTCTCATAGCTAGTGAGCAGCAAGCTTGGAACCCTGACTTCCCTGCACCATTCTCAACATTGGAGAGGGTGAGACAGAAAAGAAAACCTCTTCCCTGAAGCCTGACCACTGGCCCCACCTTCCAGAGGGTCAAGAAGACATGAGGTTGGGTTTTCTCACTTCGATACTGGAAAAGCGAGGAACAGACCAGGACAGTGACTTATTCAAGGTCACAGGGTGACTGGCTCCTTCAGTTGGATACTGAAGGGAATGAATTCATCCTTCATCTCTCAGAGCTTGGAGCACAGCATCCCCCTCTCCCCACTCAGCCAGGGATGGAAGCTCACCAGAGCCCTTCTGGAGAATGCATAGGCAGGAGAAGGACCCCTAGTATCCAGAATCTTGGGGTGGCTGCTGATGCTGAAAGATAAGGACCTTGCTGTTTGGTTTGGCAATGGATGTCTCTTGGCAAATGGTACAGGTAGCCCAAAGGCCAAGCTCCTGTGTGACTCCAGTGCAGCCCTGGGACAACCCTAAGAGGCTGCTGTGGGGAGAAGGAGGTGGCTCAAATAGCTGATGTGAAGAGAAGATTTGATGGGTTGATGACCAGATAAACAAATGTGGTCCATCCATACAATAGAATATCATTCAGACATCACCAAAGTACTAACCCCTGCTAGGGTGGGAACAAACCACATTACGCTAAAGTGACTGAAGCCAGACACAAAAGGCCACATAGTGTATGGTTCCAGAATAGTTAAGTTTCCAGAGACAGAAAGCAGATGAGTGGTTGACGGCGGCTGGGGTAGAGAGGGCACAGGGAGTGGCTGCCTAGTGACTAACAATCTCCTTTGGTGGTGGTGAAGATGCTTTGGAACTAGACAGAGATGATGGTTGCAGGACAGCTGTATGCACTGAATGTAGAAAGGGTTATGCTGTGGGAATCCCACCTGTGAAGGAGGCGGAGGGGGAGCAGGGGGAGGGAAGCAGGTATGGGAAGGGGAAGAGAAGTGGCAGCAGCAGCAGCCACCCCACTGCCACTGCTTCCACCACTGCCACCACCTTGAGGCTCCTATCTAGAAGGTCAGCCATGGGTCAGCTTTGTCCTCTCCCAGGGGAAAAAGCTGGGGCTGCTCAGGCCTTTCCATACCCTAAGATGGGGCCAACACCCCATGGCCTGCACTGCTGTGGGGTGGCCTGGCCTTGGTCAAGAGGTCCTAAGAATGTGTGCAATCTCAGGAAGAGTGAGGCCTCCTGGTTCCAAGTGGCCAGCTGGGCCAAGTCTTGGCCAAGGGCGGGGCTGTGCTTTGGAAAAATCTTTTGCACAATTCTCCATTGGATTTCAAAGGCTCTGCTTGTTCTTGGTGCTGCAGGGACACAGGGAAGGGCAGTGACCCCATCTGACCTAGCGGAGCAGGGCCCAGAAAGCCTGTGGGTACCCACTCTCACCGTGGGCCCTTAGTAAGACTACCCCCACCCCTGGCCTTCCTGATTGAGCACCATTTCACTCCCTTGAGAAGTACCTATCTTACTGTTCAACAGTGTGGACTGTTTGAACAGATGTCCTCCAACGGAGCCCAAACCAGCCTCTCACCTCCATTCTGGGGCTAGCTCTGTCCTCTGGCAGGGCAGTGGACAGCTTGCCCAACACAGGTCTGCATCTGGCTCTGCACGGCATTCCTGCATGCCCTTGGCAGGTTTGCACTCCTCTCCAGCCCTCAGCTTCCCAATCTGTAACATGCTCTGCCCTCCTTTACAGGGCTGTCCGAGGCTCGGCTGAGGCAAGAGGACCAGGCAAAGGGCTCCAGGGAACAGGAGTCTTAGAGTGCAGACTTCTGGGAATTTGCATGTGCAGTACAGCCCACTCACTAGGCCCAGAAGGCCTGGAGTGACCCTTCACCCTTGGCTCTCTACCCCTGGGTCCTGCCAGAGAAAGAAGGGGCCAGATCTGAAGGGTGACATTCATTTCTCCCAGAGGAAGAAGGAGGGCTGGTTGTTCTTGGGTTTTGGTCTGAGGTCTTGCTAGGTCAGACTTTTTCTTTCTTAATTCCTGGCCTTGGACTTTACCCCAGATTCCTAGTCCCCTCACAACCTGCTGGCACCAAGGCCCACAGAGGAAGTCAGTGGTGTGAGACCAGGTGAAATACTAGAGTCTTGGGTCCAGTTTTGGCCATAACTGGCCATGAAACTCAAGGCTGCTTTCCTGATCTGTGTGGGGTTTTTGTAAGGACCCTACTGGCATTTTTGACAGGCAAACATGCAGGCCTGATGGGCTGCTGAGGGACATTGGGCTCCCCCAGCCCTTCCTATTCAAGGACCCCAGTCATTGTGAGCACAAACAGCCTCATGTATTTCCGAACCCGGGGCAGGGACCCCTCTGACCATACCAGAACCAAAGTTCTGAAACTTGGTTCCCTGCAGTGCTCTGTGAGGCTGTATTGGTTAGATAGGCTGTCCCCAAGTGAGGCCACCATGCACCAGCCTCTTCATCCGTACTGGGCAGGGTGCTCTGGGGGAGGCAGGCAGCCCTGCTGCTCTGTTACTGGCTTCAGTCCACCTTTACCAACTTCAACAAAGACCAAGACAGGGACCAGCCTCTGTTGGCCTGGCTCCCCCTGCAGAGCCTGTGGGAGCCCCAGCCCTGTCCACACTCTGGGAGGTGCTTGCTGGGGGGCTCTGAGGCTGTGATTCCTGCACACAGGCCCCTGTCTGTTTCAGGTGGCTCGTCTCCGACAGTGACAGGAAGGGAATGCCAAATTAACGCTGGGTAATAAATTCTGCAAAAGCCAATAAAACCAAAGCAGAGGGACAGAGGGGAAGAACCGCAGCAACTGATTAAACATTTTTGTTGGCAGTCACAGACACATGGCACATTTTCCAAGGTTTGCATCAAGGAACCATCTGGCCCTGGCCCAGGTGTTTGTGGGAGGGAATCTCAGAGAGAAGAGAGGAGGGCCAGGGAGGCCAGAACTCCCATAGGGGCACTAAGCCGGGGAGCAGCACCCCCAGGGCTGTGGTCGCAGTGAGCTGGTTGGGAAACTTCCCAGGAGGACAGGGTTGGGATCTGCTCCCGCAGTCTGAGCCTCAGGCCCAGGCTCACCGGCCAAGTCCACGAGTCGCAGGAGCCGAGGCCTGGGGAAGAGAATGTTCTGCTGTGCTGCCAGCACAACCCACACCCAGACTCGGGATTTTGTACTCAAGACCCAAGGCCCAGCTCTCCCCTCTTTTCTAGGGAGAGAGTGATCAGGGCCACTGGACCTCCAGAGCTGGCCCACAGGAGGCCCCTGGACTCCTGACTCCCTGGGTTCCCTGATAGTACCACAAAATGCTCTCTTCCTCTGTCCCCCAGCCCATGCTCTCCTATAGCATCCCTGTACCCTCCTCCCTCTGAGGCTGCATTGTACTGTGAGGCCCAGAGCCCTGTGCCTTCAGGGTAGAAGAGGTGTGTGTATGTGTGTGTGTGTGTGTGTGTGTGTGTGTGTGAGAGAGAGAGAGAGAGAGAGAGAGAGAGAGAGAGAAAGAGAGAAGGCTCTGAGCCTTATTCGTGTCTGCTTTTTACTACAAGGCCCTCCTGGGGCTCTGTGGGCTGATGTGTACCAGTGGTGAGAGGTGGGGACACATGGGTGGAGTGGGACAGGGCCAGCTGACGTGGCCAGCCCTTGGCTCTATTAGAAGGAGCTATTTTCCCACAGGATGCTCTCCTGACCCTCAGGGACCCCCCACAGCTTTCAACCTTTCAGCCCCTCCAGGAGGTCCTGCCGGTAGCAGCTCCAAGCCAGTGTTCCCCAAATGCAAGCCAGAGTACCACTGTGATGGCCTGAGAACTGCTCAAAAGAGGAGTCACTCACCCCACGTAAAAATAGAAGAATGTGCTGGAATCCCAGTTTCTTAAGCGTTTCAGTCCCCACATGGGGGCTACTCCTGGACCCAGTGGCCCAGGAGCCTCCAGGTAGCTTTTCAGACATGGTTTTTATCCACTAACTCCAGAAACCCCAAGGAGACCTGATTCACCACTTCAGAAACATAACCCTTGGCCTAGTCACACCCTATGCCCCTGGCAGGGCCTGCTCCAGTCTACTGTCCAGCCTTGTGACCGCATCCTCTGTCCTCTGCATGCCTCAGCCTTAGGGTCAGCCTGACTGTGGCCTTCCTAGCTGCTTCCCATCTCTAGCTTTAGTGGCGTCCTGCCTGCTCCTTACCAGCCACACCAACCAATGCAATTCTTCAGCTCTTCCTACTCAGCCTCACCTTCACAAGGCCCACCCCTCACCTGGACAACCCCTGCTCATGCTCTGAGATTCCACTCAGGGGTCACCTGCTCAGGCCAAAGCTCCCTGGCTGGGTTGGCGGATGCTCCCGTGCGTCTCTGGCTCCTCCCTGAGCCATCACCTACTGTAGAACTCAGGTGCCTGGATTGTGTCCCTCTTTGAAGCCTCAAGCGCTAACAGAGGGCCTGACATATAAGAAATATGTGGAAAAGCAAAGCTTGGTTTCCCAGTAAGGAGTTGCTCTAAGGAAGGGGCGTCAGGGCCCAAGTTTTTACTTACCTCTGAGAAGAACACAGACAGAATGACCAGACTGATCCAGTGGATGATGCTGGCAAACTGGAATGCACTGGAAACTGCAAGGAACATAGTAAGGGCCAATTTTAGGAGCAAGGAATTAGGTGCATTGGTAGGGGGGCTTCACAGCATCGAGGGGGACCTCTGGGACTCTAGGGCCCACTCTGGTTGAAATTGGGTCAGAGAAGAAGGGCAGCTTTAGGAGTGCCTGTGGTGGAGGTCTGGGAGCCTGGTGGTCAATGGTGCTGTGGGCTGTTCTCCCTCCAGTCCCCGGGGCTCTTTGCTCCCCACGGGCCACCTCTCTGAGTTCCTGCTCAATCCTTGTGGGTTTCTTGCCATAGCCTGACTTCAGGAAAGGAGCCTCCAGAGAGGGTTCTCAAAGACACCTGTGGCTATCGGACCTGTGCGGGCAGCTTCAGTCAAGCCTGGATGAGCTTCAGAAGCTCACAGCACAGTGCACCCCCAAAGCACTGTGCACTGTTAGTGGGACTCAAGGCAGCTTCCCCTGACCATCACCCTGAAACTCTGAGTGGCAGAGATGGTCGCGTCAGCAGCATGTTTTGGAGAGATGGCTGGATGGAGGCCTGAAAGAGGGGCTAGACATGGGACGAAAATAGCAGAGCCTGCGGGCTGGGAGCTGCCAGAGTGCCATTCACCTTCCAGGCTCTGGAGTGAGAGCAGGGAGCTGTTGGCCACTGACGGCTTCAACTCCACCGTCTGCTAACAGTCCTAGAAGTGAAGGCGCTGTCTCTGGGGGAGTCTTCTAAAGTCCAGGAAGCCAGGACCAGCCTCCGAGCCCTAGCAGGGTCTAGTTTACCAGTTAGTGAGGCCACAAGTGGGTGCTGTGGCAAGGGTCAGGTGAGTTTTGATAGAGACAGGGTGGGAAGGTTTCCTCCCAGAGGCAGGCCTCAAAGAGATATGTAGACATTTTAGGGCAGCAGGCAGAGCAGAGAGAGGGCAGGGATGCCACTGCCAACAGGCCTGCACTGCCTCCCTAGTGGGCCTGCTTGGTGTGTGTGCTGCTCAGAATCCCCTGGAGCTGACTGTAGAGGCCCAGTGCCTTCAGTGGGGAGGGCTGGCCTCAAAGAGGAACCTACAGCCTTTCCCTGTGTTCTGCGACTCCTGGGGGTGTGTAAAAACCAGGTCATGGAGTGAATCTAAGGGGGAGAAGGCTGCAGGTTCCAGGTGGGAGACCCTGGGGTCCCCTGGCTTTGGGCCTAGGTGACCCTCAGAAGCTGAGCCCTGGAGATGCTGTGGATTCCTTCCCCTCCCCAGCCACAGGAATACCAGTGGGAACCAAGAAGCTGAGGCGTGTGTGACTCTGAAAAGACCTCCAGATGATTCTGAAAACATAAAATCTCTCCCCATTATTTCTCAAATGAATTCCTGTGCCTTTTTTTACGGTTTGCTTTAGAAGAGCAATAAATCTCTGATTGTGCATTTTATGGAATTTAAGATGCCTTTTATGAGCTGCTATTGGATCTCCCCACCAAAATCAATCTCCTGGATACTTAATTTTAAGCAAAATTCCAGTGTCGGCTGAGTTCTCAGTTCTATTCAATGCCTCGAAGCCGAGGGCCCCAACGACAATCCACCACAGGGAAAGAAAGATCCCGTTATGGTCAGATCTCATAAAAAGCAGACAGTATGGATGAGTGGGAGGGAAAGTCTACAACATGGTTTAATTGAAGACAGGTTGAGTGTAAACCCAGTGCTGGTCACTTTACGCTGGAAGATCCTTTAATTGGAACCAAGGGGCCACCAGCTGCATAAAACCCAACTAGGCTTATCAGACAAAAGCAATTTTGTGCTGGCCGTCATCCTCACTTAGAGAGCAGAGGAGGCTAATGTGACTTGGAGGGCGATTCGACAGACCCTGACGATGGAGGATCCAGTAGAGGAATTGAGGGCACTGGAGAAAACAAGCCTGTAACAACCAAATGGGTTTCGGGGTGACTGAATCTGCAGTCCTGGATTTTGTCAATGGAGGGGAAGGAAATTTCTCTGGGGCCAATAATTTCACCTCTTTTTTATTTGCACTTCAATGATTCAATTTCAGAATCAGGAAAATAGGGAAAAGGGATCCTAACCATTCAAGGCCAGGGGAGTCAAGACCCTTGGTCCCTGGCCCTCTGGTATACCAAATGGCAGAGAGCAAGGGTCTGGGTAGGAAGTGGGCCTTCCACCCTGACAGCCAGGATGCCACAGCCAGAACAGAGAGGAAGCAGCCAAGCCTCCTGTTGCCCTACACATCAGGCTCCAGCAAATGTGAAGCTAGGACAAATCCCAAGAGGACCTACGCGGGAGGACGGGCCAAGCAGTAAAGTGATCCGGTGACTGGAAGACCCATTTCTGCTACCTCTGACCTAGGGCAAGTCTCTTAACTCATCCAAATCCTAATGTACTCTGCCATAAAATGGAATCATGTCAGTCTTGCCCATCTCACAGGGTGGTCCTAGGATCAAATGTGTGGAAAAGTTCTTTCAAAACTATCACACTACATATAAGTAACACTGCCAACTTACAACTGCATAAAAACCCCAGGAATCTTAGCCTCATTGTAGCTGCTGTCATTATTAATTACCACACGGTGATATGCCTCCACAGATGAGGACTCTCTTTACACTACAAAAAAACTCCAACCTGGAAAATTCTAAATGGGAACGATAAAAAAAAATGCACACAGGGGTCCCCAACATTTTTATCTCATCAGTTTCTGATCATGGAATGCTGGGGAAGGGGGCTGAAGAGGACACAGGGCAGAGAGGAGCAAATGCTGATGACCAAGAGAGAAGCTGCCAGACACATTTCCTCCCCAGCGGCAATCCCCATGAGCCCCCCCGGGGCCAGCGCCTTGGCAGTGGCATGCTGGTTGGGGACCCCTGATGGATGCAGATGCACAGTGAATATTGACATCATACGTATTTGCATATGTATCTCTCTGGCTACTCACACTGGAGAAGCTTTATATCTATTAGAAGTTCCAGAGTCAGGAGAATCACCACCAATATTACACAGGCTACCAGGAAACTGTTGAGACTTGCACTGAGCAAAAATACCTGCCATACGGCTGCTCTCTTCCCACAGCATGGCTTCAGCCAGTTAGACCTGTGGGGACAAAAGCAGGGAGAGGAGGGGCTGAGAATGGGAGGGGACAAGGGTAGATCCCGGCCACAGCCCTGCCTCAAACCCCAAGCCATACCCCTCCTGGGCTCTGCATGACTTCACCATGAATATGATCTTAAGAGGCCACTGGGTAGGGTCATAAAGAGATGGAGCTGGATTTGCATGCTAACTGTGGCAGCTCACAGCACCATCCTGTGCTTCAGTCTCCTCATCTTTAAAATGGGTAGGAAACCCACACCCCATGGGTTAAATGTACAGTCTGCCTATGTGGCAACCGCTACACAAAAACACGTTGTTATTCTATGTCTGTGTATCTTAAAACATAGCTCGTCATTTAGGAGAAACTCAGTTTGCATTAAGTGAATGCTCAAGGAATTAGTAAATTGGTTTTCCGTTTTTCAGCTATATAAAGAAAGACTTGAACTAGCATCCTGTTTTTCAAAGCAGGTTGTCTTCAGAACACTAGTTCCATAGAACATTACAAGTTGTTACTTAATTTAAAAAAAGAATTCCATGGTTGGGTAAGTTTGGGAAAATTTGGGCCAAATAAAGTTCCATGGATATTTTTCTATGTGGGACATTTCGGTGCTTGTTGGGCCAGGGTATCCTTTTGTCACAGAGTGCCCGGTGGGACTCATGTTCTGTGGACCATCTTTTGGAGCACCCTTGACTAGGTGATGGTGAACAGTCCCAGGAAAGATGAAGCCACGAGGACAGACTATTTTCCACGTAGGTTTGAAGTAGGGAGGGACCCACAGAAGGCAGAGCTGCCTGGGTCCCTTAGGGTATTTGATCCTCTTTCCTCAGGAACACAAGAGGGGCAGCTCTAAGGTGGGCAAGGAGCACCAGGCTGACTGTGCCGAGGTCAACTGTCATAGTTTGATTACAGGCTGGACCTGCCTGCCCTTCCTTGCTAAGGAAGAACTAGGCATCCTGTAGAGGCACAGTGCCAGCAGGGGAGTCCTTACTTCTGGCTCTGCCTTTGGCCACTTGGGGGCCATATGTGAGGGTACTGGGCCACTCTGAGACTCTGCTTTTGGTTTGCAAAATAGGGGTTTCATAGGGTTATTGAAAGCTAAATGAGAGAATGTATCTGACCTGTTAAACACAATGTAGCTGAAATGGCGTGGTGGTGATGATGATGATGATGGTGGTAAAGTATCTGATGGCCCGTCACCCCCTGTCCTTCCCATCCAGAGAGAGCCAATCTGCTGCAGCCTGCTGCCAGGGGGCCAGTGCCCACCTCCTGAAGATCGCGAGGGTATCACTGGGCCGGGAAGGCAGCTTGCTTTGAGGTTCTCCCTTCACTCTGAAGGAACGTTGCGAATGCTTCCAGGTGGAGAGTTCTTCCTCACAATCCATCCAGGGAAAGCTTGAAGGACAGAGCCCAGCGCTCTTCAAGAAACTGGGCTCACTCAAGCCTTCCTAGATATTTTCTAACACTTTGGTAATGGCAGGCTGGTCCTCGGCTCTGTGAGGGATACAGAGTCTGGGGTTTGGTCCCCAGTCTTGGGAAGCCAGTCCCAGAAAGAGAGAGAGGAGGATTTCGACAGGTGATGGAGGAAGGCAAGGAGGTTGTTTTGGACAGGGGGGAGGTTGATGTGGACCTCCATATGGCCCAAGAGCATGGGGCAAGGGATGAGGAGACTAGCCAGGTCAGAAGAGATGGCTTCTCTTGAGGAATAAATGGAAAATGGGGAGAAAGCTCAGTGGGGGCAGATTGTGAAGGCCGTGGATGCCTCAAGTGCCCCTTCAGATGGATTTCAGAGCACCACAGAGGCACCTTTCCATTTTTTTGTAGGCACCCAGGGCCAACCCACAAGCTAGAGGCTACCAGGCAGGCCCCACACAAAGAAACCTCAGGGAGCTCAGCAGGGTTGCCAGATCAAACACAGGCCATCCAGTGAAATTCAAATTTCAGATAAATAATGAGCAATATCCTAGTATGTCCCAAACATTACAGAGGATACATTATACTAAAAAATTATCTGTTGTCTATCTCAAATTCAAATTTAACTAGGTATCCTGTATCCTTACTTGTGAGATCTTGCAGGTCTAAACTCGAAGCCAAGCATCTCAAGGGAGCCTGGTGAGGATGGCTGTGATGTGGTCAGAGAAATGCAGGAGCAGCCTCGGACACAAGAAAGAGCCAGGTGAGAAGGCCGCCTGTCCCAGATGGGCAGGAGGACGGGACTCAGACAGGGAAACATCCACTGTGCATTCAGAGGGACATCCCCGCGCCCGCCTGCTGGAGGCCCACAGAAGCCGAAGGCTGCTGCCCACAGGAGCAATTGCCACACAAAGATCCCTTGAACGTTAAGGTCTCTGGGACTCTCATCACTGTCCTCCTCACCTCCTGATCCATCCCACCTGTCTCACTCCCCTGCTTCTTTTCCCACCATGTGACATTCCTGCCACCCCCCTCATCCCTATTTTCATCTTTCACACCTCTCACCCGCCCAGCCTCCCGCTGCCTCAGCACCCCTGCAACTTTCTTTCCTCCCAGCCCCAGTCTATGAATCCTCTCCATGGCCGCCGGCGCTGTCTTTTCCAGGGCCTGGAGAGACCCAGCTCCAACCCCACATCCTCCCTGAGACCCACCACAATGTTGGTGGCCCCTAAGACTGATGCCATTTCATTGTCATTTGAAACTGGAGCCAATCTGTAAATAGAAAGGGCAGTTGTGAAGGCTGTGTGCCCGGGAGTGTCTCCTCTGGGCAGGAAGCCTTGTCCTCATGGTCAACAGGTGCAGTCAGATGTCTGTCCACCCTGTACTGTGTGCATCCAATGAGTGTGGGTGCTCCCCAGAGAGACAGCCCCTTCTACCCTGAGAGGGGAGGCCCACAGGGAGAAGGGAATGAAGGAAACCCCAGCAACGTGACTTGAATCTTCACCCACTGCTGTGGGAGGGAAAGGCTGCTCTGTGCTGCTGTTTAAAATGTGTAAAGGTTGATTCTCTTCTTTTTGGGGGGTTTGAACTCAGGGGCACTTGACCACTGAGCCACATCCCCAGCCCTATTTTATATTTTATTTAGAGATAGGGTCTTACTGAGTTGCTAAGCACCTTGCTTTTGCAGAGGTTGGCTTTGAACTCATGATCCTCCTGCTTCAGCCTCCCAAGCTGCTGGGATTACAGGCGTGCACCACTGTGCCTGGCAATTTCCCTCTTCTTTTGACAGATCTTTCTTTTTCTGAGCTGGGGTCTCTCTGTGTTGCCCAGGCTGATGATCTCCAATTCCTGGGTTTAAACTACTCTCCTGCCTCAGCCTCCCTTGTAGCTGGGACTGCAAGAGGCACAACCCCCAACTTGAGATGCAGACAGGTGTCTATTGTTACCTGTGGCCTAAAGTTAGCCAATGGCTGACCTGGCTCTGAAATCTAAGCCAGGTAGAAGACCAGGCAGATAGCAGGATTTAAAGGCATGCTGGACACCCACCTGGTGCTAGGTGGCACTGTGAGCAAAACAGGGAACCCCCCACTCCCCGACTTTGGGCAGTTTGCATACTAGTGGAAGAGTCCAACAGTAAATGGAACAAGTTATAGCATGCTACAAGGAGATAGACACTGTAGGGAAAAGGCCAGAGATGGATTAGGAGGGATTAGGATGGTGAAGGGTGAGCTGACATTTTAAATAAAGTGGTCAGGGTAGGCCTCATTGAGAAAGTGACATTTGAGGAAGTTGAAGGGAGTGAGGCCTGCAAATAATTGGGGGGCAATCCAGGCATGGTCAGATTGTACATTTAATAAAAACTGTAACTGGTCAAATTCTACTCAGCCCCCCAAATACCTTCGGCACCAGAAGGACAGGAGACAGGAGTTGGGATGTGGGGAAGGACAGCAGTGGGTGTAGCTTACCAACCATTTACCCCTCAGGGCAGATGTGCTGGTATTGCCAATGTCCTTGGCACAACCAACACAGCACCCCAGGAATCGCAAGGCAGCTGCAAAATTGAGACTTACTGCTCTGGCCCTACTCTTTCACTCCTATGCCATCTCAATTGGGCACCCACCATGAGCTTGGCCTTCAGATACCAGTCGCTACCGAGCCAGTGTGACAGTCAGTTTACAGAGGCCCCTTTGCTACTCAACTTCAAGGGGATGCCATTTACATCACATTCTGTGTGGCCTTCCTTCTTCCCAGTGACAGCAGTGGACTCCACTGAAGCAGATGAGAGAGGTCTGCCTGGCAAGGAAGCCATGGTTATGGTATCAAGGGATCAGTATCTGGTGAGGATAGCTGCCTTGGGCAGGGAGGCAGGGAGGTATAGGGGTGGGTGGGAGCATGGATCTACATCCAGGTCAGTGGTTCTCAGCCTGGGATGCAATTAGAACCACCAAGAGATCTATAAAAATCCCAGTGCCCAGGCTGCACACCACACCCCTTCAACCACCACCTCCAGGTTAGGACCCAGGCTTCGGTGGTGTGTAACCTCCTCAGATGATTTCAATGTGCAGTTGAGATGGAGAACCACTGTCCTGGGTCGTGACACTCTTGGGACCCATGGACCAGAGCCATCAGCATCACCTGGGATCTCATTGGAACTCCAGAAACTCAGCCCTCCCCTATGCCCACTGAATTTAGTGAGATCCCTGGTGGTACAGGTGAGAAACACCGCTTTATGGGGCAAGAGGTGATAGGTATCTTAGAAGGTGAACAAGGTATGGCAAAGGGGGTTTAGGAGCAGGAGAGATGAAACGGCAGGCAGGGATCCATTGAGCTCAGGGGTTGGGAAGCATCGACCTTGCACTGGGGACCAGGAGAAGCAGGCAGCTATGTGGATAGCTGTGAAGGGGCTGGGATGGGGACAAAATAGGCTTAGGGCTTTGAGCTTCTTTTTGAATAGCAGAGATGGGGGCAGAGCTACACTACTGCTGTAGGGGCACGGACCCCAAGGCCTTAGGACAGAGCCCCTAGTATAGATGGAGTCTTGCTTGAGTGGTGGGGCTGAAGCTGTGCATTTTCTGGCTGACCCTGTATTTGGAAATCCCAAGCTGCTAATAAAATTTCCTCTAAAACTCAAATGACTCAGACATTCCTAGGAGACTGTGTTTTAGTAGCAAAACAAAACGTGTCCAGTTCCCAAAGATCCCTGAGTGGCTTACTAATGACTCAAGGGCCTTAATGGGCCACAGGGGTAATCAGCATCGACTGTTTAATTAGAGAAGGTGCTTTCCTCCATCTGAGGCATGTAACACATGGAGGGCTGGCTCTCAGGGTGGTGTCATTCCTGAAATCACCACCAGAGGGTGGGTGTCTCCCTCTTTTCCATCTTGGTGCTGCAACAGCGAGGGGACCGCTTTGGGGACCGCTGGGGCTGCCAAACTCTGCAAATACCAACAACCAGATGGCTTTGCCTGGCAGGTGGACTCATATTCTACCTTGAGGTTCTGCCAGTAACTCCTGAGGCCTCAGGGGATCCTGGGGCGGAAGGGGAAGTAAGTATCTTTGCTGTTCCTGCTTTATATTCTTAGGCATTTGGATAAAAGTTTAAGAGAACAAACTCTAGAATATGAAAATGGACTTCGGCAAATTTCTTTTTTTTTTTTTTTTGGTGGTGCTGGGGATTGAACCCAGGGCCTTGTGCATGTAAGGTAAGCACTCTACCAACTGAGCTATGTCCCCAGCCCTCGGCAAATTTCTGATGGTGTTTTTAGGGGCAATAAAGCCACAGGAGCAGCCTGAGAGGAGGTGGCTCAGGTCACTGCTACACTGGGCAGTGTTCCCAAGCCTGGCACGGAAAAAGGCCCATCCTGAAAGGCGAAGGAGAACCATGTGGCATGGGATGGCAAGGGCTTGGCTTGCTCCTGCAGCGCCCAGTCTCCCCCACCCCACAGTCTACTGTGCACTCAGACTGCTATGGCTATCAGGCTGGCTGGGGATGGAAGAATGCACGATGGGGCAGGGGCAGCTGCATTGATTCTCCTGGCCTGGAACTTGGGGAGGAGCTGGAGTATACTGTGTATAATTATAACAGGTGCACAGACTCCTTGAATCTCACAAATAGGTCATCTAAGGAGACCTGGGCTCCTGATTAAAATCCCATGGTTGGGTGGTCTGAGGCTCCTCCTGCTCTACATGCTCCAATTCTATGATGCTCAGCACCTGTGTGCTGGGTGTCTTGCCAGACTTGGTGTTGGTTTTGATCATCAGCAGCACATCCTGGCCCCCCCTTTACTTTACTGTGTATACTCCAGCTGACTAAAATAATGTCAGAGAAAATCTAACTTTTTTCACTGACATGGGCTTCATTTTTATTGATTTACTTGGCACTTACATGGTACATCCTTTGCACCAGGAGCTGTTCTGCACACTTACAAATGTTATTTCAGTTGTTCAAGAGGCAAGTCCTTCAACTTTCTTCTCTGGTGGGGAATAGCCAGGCTTTTTCTAGCTTGGTTTCTGGGGGCAACTAGTGTCTACAAATCACAGCCTCACATTGACTGAATGCTGAGTGCAGTCTTTTTTTTAAAAAAAAAAAAACAACAACAACTAATGTATTAGTTGTTGACGGACCTTTATTTTATTCATTTATTTATATGCAGTGCTGAGAATCAAACCCAGTGCCTCACATATGCCAGGCAAGTGCTCTACCACTGAGCCACAGCTTCATCCCCTGAGTGTGATATTCGAGTCTTAGTTTCCTAATCTCCAAGGTGGAGATCTCTGCCTTTTCAGGGGTGTAGTGAAAGTTTAAAATATTAAAAAGAGCATATGTAAAGCATACACATTGCTTACCGTGCACATCTATAACAATGACGGTTCAAATACAGGAACATTAAAAAGGGATCTAATTATCTAACCCTGGGTAGTTTCAACAACCATTCCATTCCACATCTAGTTATTACGTGCCCACTGAATGCTAGGCACTGCACTGGGCACATGAGGCGAAGAGGGTCTTTGTCTCCATGGAAGCTATAGCCTTGTAAGTGAAATCAGCCTGTGCAAGGAGCTCCTAGCCTTAGACCACGCGAGAAAGCAAAAACAAAAACAAAAACAACAAGCAAAAACATCCATAAAACCACCAAGGGAGAGAAAAGCAGGTGAAGGATGACCTATTACAACTACCAATCTGAAACTCACAGGGACATGTGAAATGATTACTGGAACTTCTTCCTCCCTTTCTCAGGGAGACTAAAAAGAAAAGCACCACTGAGCTTTTCCTTTGTCCCTGTACCCATTTCTAAGATATCTAGAATTAGATTAGCTACCCAGAGTTAGATAATCAGTCCCCTTTCCTGTATCTGACTCATCATTGTTGGAGATCTGTGCGGTAAGCAACATGTTATGCGTTAATACATGCAAGCCATAGCAGCGCACATAGACCCAGGAACATGAGCACACAGCATTCTTCACAAAAGTACTCTCGGGGTGGAGGTGAGAGGTGACTCTCCCAGCCCTCTGGGGAACTAAATAAATTGCAGTTCCAGGCAGACAGCTTCTGTTCCACAATTGGAGCTAAAGGTTAGCCCCAATGCCTTGGGGAGGAGGGAAAGGGATGGTGTGCAGCTGGGGTCGCCAGAGCCTGGCATTTCCTTGTCCCAGAATCTCACATGTTTTGCATCCTCAGAAATGTCAATTCTGGGAAAGACAGCAGGGTGTGGTGGCAAGAGCTCAGGGTTAGGAGGCAGGAACTGTCACTCCACTTGGCAAGCTACTAACCCTCCCAGGAGGGAGTACAATGGCCAACACACACCATGAACTGGCTGCTCCTACCCAAGGGACCACAGGCGTCATCCACACATTTCTGAAGGGCTGCCATCTAGGTAGGATGTGGTCAAGAAATGGTTTCCCAGTTACTTGGAAAGGGGTTCAAGCTTGACTCAGGGGAGTGAGTGGGGTACTGCTGGACCAAGGGCCCATGAGGCCTCCTTTAATCCCTGGAATCCTCAATTCTGGGAACTGATCACAAGAATCTCCTTTGGCTGTGCTTTGCAAGCAGGGCTGCCTGGTGAGGCTGCTTCCTAACTTGGTAGAGGTGACTTAGAAGTTGGCTGGAGTTTTCCAGCACACCCCTCTTCTCCACTGTGGAGCTCTCTGGGTTGGCTGTGGTTCTGCAAATCCTGGGTTGGCCATGTTCTCCCTCCTTCTCTTTGAAATCTGGATCCCAAGCACCTTCAGGGATGATTGGGGGATGGGTGTCATTTTATCTCAGGTGCCATTAACTCTGCTCATTTTCCTTGGGGAACCTGGCCTTACAATAAACTTTAAACTTTTCTCCCCTCCCTGTGGGCACCCTGCACCACCCCCAGGTGGTCTGAGGCACTCTGCCGCCATCTAGTGGTCTCCCATGGCTGTCAAGCATACGCATAGGTGGCCATGGGTGGATATTTTGCTGAGAAATCAGGTATCTGAACTCATCGCCCTTTTCATGGGTCTTTAGGGTTCCTGGACTACAGGAAAATGAAATAGCATGCATTCACCAGGAAAATATTTTGATCTGAATTAAGCCTGTATTCACTGGTTGGGGTTTTGAGAGCTCTGGTGAAAGCCCGAGTCTTCTAAAATTATAAAGAGGGTCATGGATTTGCAAGGTTAGCTTGGGGACAGGGGCAGCTGGTACCCTAGAAGAGTGGTGTTTTCTTATAGACAAGTCTCACTGCATTAATAAAGTGGATTAATGAAGCTCTAACAGTCTTCACAAACCACACGATGAGGAACTTCTGGATTTCCCATTCCCGTGATCGTGGCTGGGTGAACTGTTAACCCTGAACCCCCAAAGGATTTTCCTTCTTCTAACAGGATGCTAAACTCTTACTAAGTGAAGCTGGCATGTTCTGTGGCAAATACTATTTCTTTCTTTTAGATTTTGTGGAGGGGGTGTGGAGTTAGCAAGGATGCTCAGAGTGAGTGCGGCCATCATGGCCTTCTTGACATCTGGGCATGAGAAGCCTGGTCCCTCCCATGTGGCTCTTCCTCCTACCAGCAGTCACCTCTCTCTGAGGGCACCTGGCTCCCCCTTCTGTCTTCTGATCCTTATCTTTACCCAGCCCCACCCACTCACTCACTCATTCATAACAGGCTCAGTGTTCCAGCACCTGGCCCAGTACTGGAGACAGACTTGGAAAGAGAGGAGGAGCTCAGGGTTGTTTCTGGACATGGTGAAAATGAAGGCAAAGGACTGTGGGAGCACTGAGGCGAGGGCCTAGGCTGCGGGGGTGGGGGATGGGAGACTTTCTGGGAGGACCTGGTCCTAAAGCAAGACATTCTGGGAAGAGAGGGAGATATTTTGGGCCATGGCTTCACAGGCTGCTCCCCCTCCCTTTTCTTTGCCCCCAGCCTTTGCTTGCTAGCATATCTAAAATTACTTCAGTCCTTATTTAGAGATGTTTGCTATATTGGATCGTCTTATTTTTCTAACCTGACATCTCAAAAATATTCCTGTGCCCCCATTATGTTGTCTTCCTCTTACTGTGAAATTTTGGCAGACATGTGCCGTTGGCATCATCTCTAAGTAACAGCACCCCTTTTGGCCTACCCAAGACCTGTACTTCCTCCAGCCTTCTGCTGTCTGGGAGTCCAGCCCTTACCTCTTTTAGGACCCAGTCCTGAACCCTAAGAGAGAAATAATTACTTCACTAAATGTGGAAGAGCGTTCATTTCTTACTTTAATTTTGGACAAAGACTACTCCACAAACTCTTCCTTCACACTCTCCACTCCCTTGTTTCACCAAAAAGAGCCCTGTCCCTCTACGTGACCAGGGCCTCATTTGTAGAAGGGGATGATGACTCTGCCTTGCACCACCTTCCTCTACACATGCACAGTCACAGCGTCTCTCCTGTTGGGCTGCAGGCCTCTCTAGGGTGGAACTCTAGGCTTCTCTGAATTTTCTCTTTTGTGGCTTCTCGTCTTGCCCAGACCCAGCAAACCAACCATGCCTTCAGTGTCCTGTAGTTGGTTAAGAGAACATGGAAGTTCCAGTGTATGCCATGAGTTAGCTTCCTAGAAACTCAGTATCCCTCTTCCAAAGGTAGACAGTGTTTGCTGAGAATGGTTCTGTACCTCACTTTCCCACCACTGAATGGAGTGGTGTTCAATGCCAAAGAATGAGACCAAGGAATAAAGGGCTTTGGTTATGTGCAAACAGAAAGCTGCAGGATTGTCCACCAGGACAAGGACAGGTCAAATTGCACTGGGGTGAAAGAATCAAGATGACCGTTATTGAAGTCTAAGAGGGAGATTTTTCCCGAACTAAAAAATGACTAGAAATTGATGAAATTAAGGTTGAATTCTGAATTGAAGGCTAAGAATGGAGAGTTGGCTCTCTTAAAGGATGTGATGCATGATGGGTGATTCCACACTAGTGCTGTCCCACTGGGGTAACTGCAATATATGCTGGGAAATGGCCCTGTTCAAAGGGTAGGCCTGATTGGCCTGTGGACTTCCCCATATCCCTTGTCATGAGACTCAGTTCTAGCCAATGAGACATGAGGTGAAAGTGGCCAGAGGCTTCTGGGAAAGTTCTTTGAACTCTCAAAAAAATGATGGGCATCTGTCTTGCCAGATGTGAATGAGGAAAGATGTAGCCTAATTACTACAGGCAGCCCTCTTACAAACCTCAAGGGCATCTTATAGTGTCTAGAAGCCAGTGCTGTTAGACATCAGAGTGAGGAAAGGAATCCCACCCTTGTTGACACTGGCAAGTTGTTGGACCAACCTCAGAGCTGCTCAGAGCTGGCTCTAGACTCCATGTTACATGGCCTAGTGAATTTGTTACACACAGTCCAAAGCAACTGCATGATAGAGTTACTCGTCTTTTGTGGAAGAATCTTTGGTTCAGTGAAGTGATATTATGGCAGTAAGGTGACAGAACATGGGGCATGAGGGAGAAGAAACTGAGCTGGTCTCATGTTATGGATGCAGCAGGGCTTCATGACAGCCTCAGCTGGGGTCAGACACCCCCTCTGCTCCCCGTCTCCCCCTCTCCTGAGTGTCTCCCTGTGGACATGCATGGAAGTTTTGTTATCACTATCGAGGGAGGGAAGCACTTGGTTGGGGGGACACAAATAGGAAGGGAAAGGAAGATGGCGGAGCCAGCCTGATGCGCCAGCACAGTGGATTGAACTGGACTGAATTAGAGTCCTGGATCTAGAGAGGTAATGGCCAGAAGCATAAAGGACCAGAGCCAAGGCCATAAGCAGCACATCGACAGCCCTGTGTAGAGCTGGGCTGGGGAAGAACTTTTCTGGCCCACCTCGCATGCAGCTCATATTGCACTGGCTCTTGGTTCCCGAAGCTGCTGGACTTGGCACTAGCATTTCTATAATGGATGCCATCGGCAGTTATAGCTTCATGGGCACTAGAATGAGGATGAAAGGAGCCAGAGCAGAGGAGGAAAACAAAATCCAGGGCTGGCTGTAAGTGACAGGCTTCACACAGCTCTGGTGTGTCTTGGAGGACACTGGTTCCTGTCAAGGCAAGAAGGAGGGTTTGTGTCTTTGTAAGTGACCATTGTAGATGCACGTGTGGCTCGTTTTGGTGATAATGGGTCGGTGAGGCCAGGCAATATCTAGGTTCCACTGGCTGGAGCCATACATTCTGGGGATAAAACAGTCCCATTTGGGGCACACTGGGTTTGAGATGGCCAGGACGGGTGAGTTGTGGCTCCTTGGGCTGGATTTGAGTGCTGCCACAGAAAAGGCTATTTTTAGCAATGACTTAGTTGGAAACAAGAACAGTTCTCCTCTCACACATGCAGGCAACTTGGAGGCACCAGGACAGATAATTGTGTGGAAGCTTGTCAGGATTCTGAGGTATTGTTGGGATCCCCATGAAGATGTCCAGGAGCCTAGGTGGATATGTGTCAGGCGTTTGAGTGAGAGATTCAGGCTAGAGGTACGGCTTTGAACATCACCAGCTGAAGGATTTAATTTAAGTTATGGGAATGGATGAAATTACCCAGTGTGCAGAGTAAGTAGAGTGGAAATGGCCAAAGGCAGAAAATGGAGAACCCCAACATTTACAGAACATGCAGAGGAAAAACAATTTTTAAAAGGCCTAAAAGGAACAGTCAGGGGAGGAGGAAGAAAGTCCGGAGGGTTTATATGTGATGGCAGACAGGGAAGACTGCTTCAAGAGGGAGGCAGGGGCTGCCAGTTTCAAACGCTAGACAGAGGACAGTATCAGGATCCTAGCAGCAAAGAGGCAGTTGCTGTCCTTGAGGGGGACAGTTTCCAGGGCGTGGATAAGGCTGAAGCTGGACTGCAGCAGACTGATAGATGGGAGGGGAGAGGGTTCTTGGCAGGTGCCAATAAGGCTTGTAAGAAGTTTGACTGCAAAGACAAGGAGGGGTGGTGGTGGACAATGGGGATGTGGGGTCAAGGGAGGACATGAGGGCCTTGAATGTGTGGTGAGACAGGGAGAGGCTATAGCTGATGGAACAAGGTTACCCAGAAGGCGGAGGGGTGAAATCAGAACTCAGCAGCTGAGACTGGGCCTGGAAGGGAGAGCCTGGGGGCTGCGGTGCAGCCCACGTGAGAGAGGAAGGAGGAGAAGGGGTCATCTACTGGGGAAAAGAGAGGATTGAGGAAAATGGAAGCAACGAGGAACAGCTGCTGGGGACTGTCCAGGACCAGGGAGGAGGACTGTCAGGCACCACTGAAAATCAAGCGGAGGCTGGAGACCCTGAGTCTGGGGAGGAGCCAATCGGTACCGTTGTCTGACTCTCCTCCCTGGGCCCGGAGCAGCCTGACAGCACAGGTGACCAGGTGGACGGCAGACAGTGCTGCAGTGTGGTGCTGCTAGGTGGACATGTCAGAAAGACAGAGGGCTCCTGGGCAAGTCAAGGAGCTGGACCCAGGCGGCTCTCCACCTGTGCCTCGGGGCTTAGCCTGAATCGGAGGACTGTTACTTCCACTCACCTCCCAGGCTCTCAGGGAAATGCTCTTACAAGCACACCAAAGCAACTCACATGCATTAGGGTGGCTACTACCATCCCCCCAAAACAGAGAATAACAGGTGTTGGTGAAGCTATAGGAAAATGGAATGCTTGTGCACAGTTGGTGCAAAGGTAGAATGGTACAGCCTGGCGGACTCTCAGACATTAAAAACACAATCACCACATGATCCAGCAATCCACTTCTGGGTATGTATCCCAAAGAATCGAAAGCAAGGTTGCAAAGATGCTGCTCATTTGTTCATAGCAGCATAGTTCACAATAGCCAAAATCTAGAAGCAACCCACATGTCCACTGGCAGATGAACTGATAAGCAGAATGTGATATAGACAGATAATGGAATATTATTTGGCCCTAAAAAGGAAAGACATTCTGATATGTGCCTATAACGCAGATGAATTCTGAGGGCTTTATTCTCATTGACATAAGCCAGTCACAAATAGGCGTATATTGTATGATTTCACTTAAGTGAGATACCTGGAGTAGTCAAAATCAAAGACAGAAGGGAGAATGGTGGGGGGAAGGGAATTGTTTAACAGGTACAGAGTTCTGGAGACAGATGGCAGTGATCATCATGTGGCACTGTGAAGGCACTGAATCATACACTGAAGATGGTTAAGATCATAAATGGTATGTTATGTGTATTTAACCACAGTTTGAAAAAAATGCTTTTTGAAAACAACAACAACAACAACAAAAAAAAAACACACTAAGAAGTTCAAGGTGTTCATTCAACAGAGCAGCCTGGCAGTGGTATCTCATGGGCAGTGGAGGGTGCCCACAGCCATAGGAGTGACAGGTAAAGGGACAGGTGATAAATGGATAATCCCAGTGTGTTGGCCTAGATCAGGAGCCAGGAGATGGGGCTGTCCCTGTCTCTGTCACTGTGTGATCTTGAGCAGGCTCCTTGCACTCTGGCCCAGTATCCTGTTAGGATGCTTAGAACATTCACCTTGCGAAGGTCTCCCCCAGCTCTAACTGTCTAGAACTTCAAAGCACTGACTGTCACTGAGCCCGAGGGACGTGAGTGCAGGGCAGCTGAGTCACTGGGCACCTTCTCCGTGGTGTCCCCGAGAGCTTTTCATTTAAAATAGAGAAGATACATTCCTATCTAGAGCACTCCCCTTAGCAGGAAGAAGGGTTATGGAGGAGGAAGAGGCTTAACCGAGCTCAGCACTGTCAATACAGACCCTTCGTTTTGGTTTACATTGCTTTGGAAAGGGCCAAGCTGGAAATTTGGGAAAACCCCAGGAAATGTGGCACGAGCCAAGATTGTGAGGAGAGGCACTGTCCCTGCACAGTGTGCTCTTGTGCCTCTGTCCTGTGCCTGCTCTTCCTTCCTCCAGGAGGCCCTGTGGCTGCCAGTTGAGCCCCTCCACAGGCTGCTTCCTTGACCCAACAGGAGCAGCTTCCTGAGCACACCTGGAGACTCAAATCAAACAAGGGCCTCTCTGCCTGCAGGCACTTCATCTGTATTCTCCCGCTGATTGGAAGAAAGACTTGCAGGCCCCATTCAAAAGCAAACTGAATGATAGAGCAAGGCCTTTCTGACAGCTTTTTCCTTGAGTTCAGGTGGGGGAATGGTACACCCCAGTGTGGCATACCTGGGAGGGGTACACCTACGTGCACTGACACACACGAGGGGAAGATATGAACATTGCTCTGAAATAGAATCATTGGCAGTATTCCTGCCTCTCTCCACGCCCTTTCACTGTTGACTTGGAAAGAGCCTATGGTACCCTCAAGCCAGGGCCGGGAGTTTTAAGAACATCCACGGCATTCTAGGTGGCTGCACTACTGTGTTTGACCACCAGGGTGCAGTCACACAGAGACTTGCTGGGGGCTCAGAGAAAGACCCACAGGCTACAGGATTTCTAGAGCCCAGTGAATTTCAAGAGGAGAGACGGGCCAGGCTGTTGACAAGGGCTGAGCCTACTTCACAAAGGACAGCACGCTGCCACCACCAAGCATCCCTCAGCTGTCTCCTGCCTGCTTGCCTGTCTTTTTATTCCAAGGTCCTGCTGACTGTATGCACAATACTTGGAAAAATTATATTTTCAGTGAATGCCACTGGGGTATCGTTTCTGCAAAAGAAAGTGTACGGTTTCACGATTGTTAGGCAGTTTATCTTGGGACCAGGAGAGCCCCTTCAGGAACAAAGCACAGGGAATCCAAGCTCTTCGAATCTAGCTATAGCTAAGACTTCTTGTTTGATTCTAAAATACCCACAAACCTTAATTTTATAATCAAAGCAGCCAGCATGTTCTAAGTTATTTACAGGTATCTGGGAGAGTCGCCCAGAATTGGCTCCTTTGGTCCTCACTGGTGTTTACAATTCTATGTCTAAGAGCCGCAGGGTTGGGCTGGGGAAAGCAATGTTGTGAGCTGCTGTGTGACCCTAGGACTTGTTCCTGCCCTTCTTGGGCCTTCAATTCTTCAACCTGCTACTGCTTCAAAACAGGGCATCAAACATCCAGCTGGAACACTCTATCATTGCCCTGCAGAGAGTACATTGGTGAAGACAGATCAGGCTAATGAGAAGTTAATTGGGAAACAACTGATTGACAAGTTAGTATAGGATGATAAGGGGCAAACTGTTCTGAATTAGGGATTAACATTTCCTGTTGTTCCTTTCTGGAAAGGGGGGCAGATACTGTCTGCAAGGTCCTAGTTGTGTTCTGTTAAATTCCCTTACATGATGAGCATGTTCCTTCATGCAGAGGGCTTTGCTTGATAAAGAGAAGTGCAGTCCAAGTCCATCCCTTATGGGCTCTGTGACTTGGGCAAATCCCTCATCCCTGTGGTTCACCTGTTTCCCAAGCATACAGAGGGGGAGTTGGATGGGCCATTTAAGGTCCTTCCAGACCTAAAATGGATTTTATTTTATTCTCTGAGTTCCAAGCAAAAGACACATAAGACATAAGAGGCTTTCTAGTAACAACAGGTATTTTCTGTATCCAAAACCTTTTCCTGAGTAAATAATGTCTGAGGAGAAAAAGGGCCAGAGAGGCCTGGTGTGACCCTCTGCTCTCTCACTGTTCAGTATCTCTAATCTCTGTCCCTGGCTCTTGGGAGGGAGCCAAGGACACTCAGGGAGTCACACAGGAGACTCCTCAGCAGGCTCAGCGGCAGCACCTACCCTTCTCTTTGGTACTCTTCATCCAGATTTGACAGGAGCTGCGAGCCAGCCGTGGAGAGGTCAACGGCAGCCAGGGGCAAGTCCCGATAGGCAAATGTCACCAGCTGTGTGGGGGCCATGCTCTTGGTTTCTTCATCTACTTGTTGGGAGATGACCTCAACTTCAGAAATCCCTCCTTCGACAGCAGGCCTGAGTTGGAGAGGAGGAATGACAAGAAAGGTTAGCTCCTAGGACCAAAATACTTTGTCCATTCCAAGAGAGGAGAGTAGGGGTTCCAGAATCTACACAGTGCTGTTGGAAGGCTGGGGAAGTGCAAGGTTGCCATTCTTCCCACGGGCCACCCAAAGACAGGATCAAAGCCCTCACTAGTCCATTTTCTTCACCAGCTGGGAAGAAAGGGAGATGAGAAGAGGAATTGTTCATGTCTGGACACAGGCAGGTCTTCTATCATGGGGTGATAAAGACCTAGATAATAACTCTGTCAACCAGCAAAACCACGGCTCAGACTTCAGGACTCTGGATCATTACTCTTTATATTGAAATGGTATGTTCTTTTAAACTATCTTATGGGTTTTTGTGAAGGTCCTTTGAAATGTTTCTATCATCTGTGCCACAACTGGACATACTGCTGGTGGTTGGGACTCTACCTGGAGACCTGCAGGGCCCTTGTAGGCTTTGGGGTGGTGAGGGTGGGAGGGCATTGGATGACTGGGGGGTGCCTGCTGCCTTCCTACCTGAATTGGTCCTACCTTTTAAAGGTTGGGAGTAGGAAGTAGAAGTTGGCTGATCAAACGTCTGAGAAACTCTGGGGCTCTGTGGGTACCTCAAAGAACCCACAACTCTGGCATTGCAGGATGCCCCAGCCAGGGGCAGCACCACCTCCCAACCCACCAGCAGGTGTCTGGCAATTTGTGGAGGCATTTTTTGCAGTCACTGTTGACATCTGAACAGGGCTAGGGATGTTATTAATTCTGCAGTGTATTTAACAACTCTGAACCACCCTGACAAACTCTGTTGAGAGATGCTGGACAATTTTGCTTTTACTGCCTGGGTTGCCATTTTTGGTTCCTCCACACATTCTTGACCCACTTTCATCCCGTAGAATCTGAGGCATTGGGTCTTGTGCCTCTGGTCAAACAAGAAAGGTTAAAAAGTTAAAAAGTACAGATGAAGAAGTATAAAGATTAAATATTTGAGCCAGGTGCAGTGGTGCACGCCTGTAATCCCAGCAGCTCAGAAGGCTGAGGCAGGAGGATTGTGAATTCAAAGCCACCCTCAGCAACTTAATGAAACCCTGTTGTCTCTAACTAAAAAAATACAAACAAATAAACAAACAAAAGATTAACTATTTGAAGGAACACTAAGAGTCAGTGTCCAGGGAAAGGAGGCCAGTTTCAACACTGAGGTGACAACCTAGGCCACCCTGCAATATTCCTGGGCTCTCGGGCCAGCCCAAATACCTCCTTCAGTGGGACTCTTCCTGGGCCTCAGTTTCTCCAACTGAAACATAAAGAGTTGAAATAGAGGCTTCCTAAGAGCCATTCCTCCTTAGTCTGGGATCTGATATGAATAAGAGGAACACACAGCAGGCTGGAGAGCTCTGGAGTTGCAAGACCTGTCGCTTGGATTGGGAACTCTAAATTCCAAACTTTTCTAGCAACTGTTGAAACCTAACCAGTGACACCCAGAGGTAGTGACAGGAAGTTCAGAGATGAATCTGCCTACTTCTCCTTTTCTTGGATCACCCAGATTAATGGAGGGAAAAATAGGTTTGTTTGTTTGTTTGTTTGTTTGTTTTTTTTGAGTGCCACAGGTAGGCTGCCTACAATACCTGAATTCGCCAAGTAATTCCCAGAGCCCCAATTCTCTTTTGTAAGCCTTATTTAAACCTTTGCTTTTTGCTACCTGTCAAGTGCAGATAATAGTATTCATCACTGTGTGACATTTACAGAATGACTCGACATCTTTAGGCGGAACAGTCATAGGATGTGCTGCTTCTATGTTTCTCAACAACTGATCTAAAAGCGTGGGTGTTTTATGGGGGGAATCCCACCTCCTCCAGATGTTTCCAAAAATGTAGCTGCTGAATTGAATTTGTTCTCTTTTCTTTGAAACTATTGAAGGAAACTATGGATTTTTCAACTGTACAAATAGAACTTTCTGACCAATAAGGTGTTCAAGGAGGGCTAGAGAATTTCTAAGAACAGCAGATTATGGCTCCAAGAAGCATGGAACAAATTACTTCTGCCTTCTTAACTCTCCCACCCTCTGTTCCCAATCTGCCAATGGTCATAGTGGACTAGCACCATCTCTAGCCCAATGGTCATCTTAGCAGAGAGTATTGAAATTCCCACAGTTAATGGCCTGAGTATTAAAACTACACCCTGGCCTCAGGTATGAAGTATAGTATGGTGAACAAAATGGGTTAATTCTTTATCCCTCCTTGAATACAGCCCTTTGCCACATGACTTTACAGTCTGTCCCATCAAAAGGAAGAATAAATTTCCCCAATATCTTATTTGGTCTTCTATTATGTGACTTGTTTTGACCAATAGTATATTAGCAGCCATGATGCCGGTGAGGCATGATAAGGCATTTGTGAATTTCTGCCTGTGCTCTCGCCCCTCCAACATCACCATCAGAGGGTGACCAGCCCAGGCTACTGATCTCACCTAGATCAGCTGACAGCCAGGCCAGCCCCATATCCAAGGGTGAGTCCAAGCAAGATCAGAGCAATTACCCCAGACATGTGCACAATAAGCATCTATTGTTGATTCTACTGAGGTTGGCTGACCTTCAGATAACAGGTTCATGCTGCAGATGACTGAGTAGCCAGGCCCATAGCTAGAGAGGCCAGGAGAGCGTGGTGTAATAGAAGGAGTGTTATTCTCATCTTAGCATTTTTACCAGTGAGTTGCAAAACACAAAATAAATCACCACCTGGTCACTTACCAAGCTGGTGCTTGGCAAGATAAAGTGGTTGGTCCACATGGTGCCTTAAGTTTGGGGAACTGAAAGCAATTCTCCCTGAAGAGTTCTGATGCTGGTTTAAAAAACCCTTTCATGATTTCTAAATTTCCTTGAATTCCCATATTGTTAATTCCTTCAATTGCTTCCTAAACTTGTGTTGAGCTTGCTTTTGAAAGGTTTCCCCCATATTTTGTGGCCTCCTGTTAAAGTAAATGTATACAGTGGTTGCCTGAGTAGAAGATCATGGTCTTATGGAGATTTATAGCAACATTTTGGATGCAGAGAGCAGTTCCCAACAGTACTTACTGTGGATCTGTCATGTTGAAAGATGCAACCAGAGCCATGGGTTTTCTTGGTGTCTAGTGGGGCTCAGCTGTCCTGAAACCTGCTGTCAGCATTTCCAAGTGTGGGTTCTACAAGACACATACAAATATAGTGCCCTGAAAACAAAAATAGGAACTTATTACCTTCAGATGCCAAATCAAAGTCCTCCTAAGCTCATCTAAAAATGGGAATCCTTAGCACTTTCTCCCATGTAGCACTTTTCTTCATAGTAATGTTGAATTTTTCCAATAACCCTATAGAGGGATAACAACAGCATAATTTTCATTTTTTTTTAAGAGATGAGGAAATAGGGCCAGACTGACAAAATGACTTTTCTGTGTTACACAGAGATACAGGAAGAGCCAGGTTAGACCCAGGTTTTCTGGATTCTCATTCTTAGCGCTTTCACTAAGCTGCTATGCTCCCTGCCCCCCCAAACCCAGCCTGAGCTGTAGTTCTCTCTATTCTTCTAGATTTTTCTTTCATCTTTTTAGTTGGAACTGCAATGACAAAAGATGCAGAGAAAGTAGCTAAGAGGACAGACCCTGGAGGCAGACTGCCTAGGGCCAGACCTCACTCCCACTTATCCCTCTGTCCTCAGCTTCCCCAGCTACAAAATGAGGATAATAATAGAACTAACTAAATGAGGCAATGTATGTAAGATACTTAGAACAGTGCCTGGCACATAGTAAGTGCTATATAAGTGCTAGCTTTTAATTATCATAATTCTAACTTTTTATAAATTAAAATTGCAGTCTGTTGAACCTGAGCACATTCCAAAGCATTTGGAGGGCTGAATATAAGATTTCCTCCTAGAAATTTGGCCTAGGTAAACAGAATATACTTTTCTATCAATGTGACAATGTGACAGTGCTACCCAAAAGTCTTCTGGGAGACAGTACAATTCAGCAGAAAGTACACAGATGCAGACGCACCCTGCTCCTGGGTGATCTTGAACAAGTTATTGGGGGAGGGGGCCAACTCCAAGGGGCCATTCTTTTATAAGATGCACTCATCTGCAAAGTGATGCTCCTACAAGAAATCAAGGCAGGATATAACCCACTCTCCCAATCCTGAAGCTCAGTGGGGCGGAGGAGGGAGGGTTCAACTAGGGAGCCCAACGGGGAGGATGGGTATGTCACGGGGGAGGGAAACTGCTCCCACCTTGAGACTTACTGGGGGATGGTGGTTCATGAGCAAAGAGAGGAAGCTCTCTTAAGTTCTGTGTAGCTAGGAGAATACGGAATTCAAGCTAAAAATGCTTCAAAAAATCCTGGAGAAGTTTGACTATAGAGTAACTGGAAATAGAAGATGGGGGAGCTCTTCTATTTGGGAAGAGTACCACCCAGTCCTGGAAACCATCAAATATTGGAGGGAGAAAGCTGGGACAAAGGGTCCAGGACAACACTAGGGAGCATCTGAACAGATGTTTTGTAGTCACACCTTACAAGGATTTCACTTTGCCTTAGTTACCTTGGTAAGGAGGGTCTAAACAGGAAACAGAATTTCCTCTACAGTATTTGGAATTGTATATTAATTTATAAGTAATTATGTAAAGTTCTCCATTCAATAATGAAGATTTAATTAGTCTCAACTTTTTTCCTGTTCTTTTTCATAAGTTCTCAAGTTAACAGTCTTGAGCTAGGCATGGTGGCACATCCCTGTAATCCCAGTGATTACAACCTCCAGTAGTAATCTTACAACCTCCAGTGTAATCTGAAGGTTGAAGCAGGAGGATTACAAGTTCGAGGCCAGCCTTAGCAACTTAGCTAGACCCTAAGCAACTTCGTGAGGCCCTGTCTCCAAGTTAAAAATAA